CCTCACTCGTGCTTTTCTTGTTTGACTGGTATGTATCTGAAGTCTTTATATCACGCCTGCCTCTTTTATCTGCTGCGGGTGTTTGTCCCTCTCATCCATCGTGGCAGCACAGTACCCTTGCTGCCTGTCTGGACTAATGCTTTTGTAATTGACTTCCACAATGAGAACCCTCGCCTCGTCTGTCGCAAATACCAAAGCTTTGTCATTCAGCCATGCTCAGGCCGAGGCATGACGGGGATGTATTCACAATGGTAAATTTATAATATGTGAGTTTCACATGTCTGTGTCGCAGACCGATTATGGAGGTTGCTTTGTTCCAGACTCTCCCTGTCCTAATTTCCGCTGTGCTGTTAATAAAACTGTACATCTTTATCACATCTGTCACTTCCAGCTCTTGTCACTAACTTTTGTCCTCCTCCACCTCCACTTCCCATCTTCCTCATCACCCAGGTAATCTTAGGGCTGCTTCTGCCACCGTCCATCCTGAGCTTAGAGTTCAAGAACAAGGACGAGATGTCCTACATGCCCCAGGATCAGGAGGCCTACCTGCAGGAGAAGGAGGAGGAGGAGCCTGAGAAACCAGTCAAGGAGAAGGAGGAGGAAGACATGGAGTTCACAGTAAGATCTTACTGTGAGACGCAGTACAACTCCGTGGTGAGAGAACCCACCTCAGCCCCGCATCTCAGAATTTATACACATACTCAAACTTTAGACAATTTACAGATGTTTTGTTCAGATTATAAAACTGATCATTGAACATATAGCCCAGATTATTTGTCCTTTGTTAATATCTCTTGTGGAACAATTTTATATAATGTTGTTTCTGTCCACAATGAGATTCCGATATGCACACACGTACACACACAGTTTTCTACACACACATACTTATTTCCCTATTCTGGCCAAATGGACCCTTTCAGCCAAATCGGCCTTTCCTGTTTCTCGTCGTCTCAGCAAAGACATGGTCTTGGAGTTGTAGCGTCTCAGTCTGTCGCCGCTTGTGGGTTCCCTCGTGTATGTTTCTTCTTCCATCTATCTCCTTCCCTATTTCTCTCTGCTTTTCCTTTGGTCCCTCTTGTTCTCCTCCCGGCTCTCTCTTTCTCTCTTTGGTTCTTTTGTTTCTTTATTTCTTTTGCTTTCAACTCCCTCTCTCTCTAGCTCTTTCTCTCTTTCTCCCTCTCTCCAAGCTCAGTTCTGATTGAGGTACAGTACTGTATGCTAGCCGATTGCTGCCCCTCACTCTCTCCCATCGTGATGATGGCTTGCTGCAGCATACCACTCAGCATGTCGGCTGCTGAGCATGGGAGGCCCAGGCTTTTGCATTATATAACCATGTCCGCCTGCTGCTGCAGAGCTTAAATCATGCGGAGTCTGAGCACCTTCTCCCGGCTCACAGTGGAAGAGTTGGTCCATCTGCATAGACATGGATGTACAGCAGAATTAGGACTCGTTCCATTTCAATCCAATCAATTCTGGAGATGATACCAGGATTCAGTTTGTGTGTTGAAATCAAGACTAGAATTTGGAAAGGCTATTTTAATACACAAACTGAATCTAAGGCTGTCCCATTGAGGGATTGAACTGGTCCTGAATGCCTGACTGCACCACTGTACATACTCTCCATCTGCATTGAGCACAGCCAGCAAGCCAGCGCAAGATTCACACAACAGGCCATTTTTCACATGCAGTCCTTGAGGCACTGTGGTGAAACCTGCTGCCAGAGGATGCATTTGCAATGAGCCCTCTCTATTGCCCTGGCTTCTGACTGTAAAAATGCACCCTCAGATACTTATGAATCACACAAAGATTCATACAGATATACACAGACTGCTACACCACAGAGGGAGATTGTATTGTCCTATTCTCAGATGCTTTAGATAAACCACACTGTGATGAATGTTGTTTGTGTGAAAGCTTGTGGCAACTTTCTGATCAGATTATGTGCATGTTCAGTACCTTAAAGGCATGGTGTGATTTACACACTGGCATCTGAATCTGTTCACCCTGAAGGCCCTGTCTGTGTGTGCCTCGGACAAAACTTTGGCTGTATATGATTCAAATATTTGGAAAAAATAGAAATTCCTTGATTCCTTACTAATGGCGATTTCTTAGAAATGTTTTTTATCACTGTTGCACATATCACCTTGGAACATAAACCAACTACTCATCATGTATTTCAGATACTTGGTCAGATTTTATCCTTGCCCAGGTCTGCTATGCTGCCCTACAAAGACAGAGCTCAGTAACTACAGAAGCAGTGAAGTTGAGAAAAAAGATTGGGAAGTTTT